GCCACACTGGCGCAAGTGTGGCCCGAGTGGCAATGCGCAAATACTTCTAACAGACAGTTGGAAAAAGCTGTCCGACGCCTTGGTTGAGGGGTCGGACGTATGATCGTTCAACCAGCCAGTCATTCAAAGCCTTCTGACGAAAAGTTCGGAAAAATGAGAGGTTAGCTACCCAAAATCGGCTTTTCGGCTTCGTTGGATGGAGGGCTTCGCTTCTCTTTGTGTGCGTAGAACGCACTGGCAACTTTTAACAAGACGCTGCCCTCTTTCTGGTTTATGAAGAAGAGGAGTGTATCACAAACCAAAGGAGCCATCCTGATTCACGAAACCGATACGAAACGAGCCATCTTCACTGTTTATTTTCTTTCTTCCAAGACGTAGCTTCAGGGCGACCTGTTCGAAAACCATGTGAGCTTCAAATGCTCAGGTGCTCTCTATCATAGCCAGGTATACACAACTTCTAAGCAACTTCGCTTCTGAGACCGTCATAAAGGTCCAGCCGCATCAGGTCAGCCCTGCCCAGACCGTGAGCTCGACATCACGACCAGGATATGTGCACTCAAACGAGGCCAAGCATGCCAAGCATGAAGCCTACCTAGCTGAGAGCCGTCAAGGTCCTTGCTCGGTTGTGAGCTTTTGAACCTGATCAATCAGGGTTCTGATCGGACAAACGTATGCGGCATCTGAGACAAGCCAAACCACGCAAAGAACTGAGCACCAAGGCTCGCGCCCAAGTTCGTCACAGGCGCACACAAGTCCGGCCAGGCGGTGTCCGCGCAACCCGATAGCGGTGTGAGCAATAACATGGACACATATCACCGCAACCGTACCATTCAGTATTCTTGAAAAGCCTCCCCTGGCTAGCTTGACCAGACTGCTCAAGGACTAGAATCAAGTAACCTTCTACCTAACCTGTTCAAGAAGTTTCGTACAACGACCATTGACTTCCACTGCTGTCAGCGGTTCTGAGAGCTTCAAGGAACACGGGCGAAGCAGCTGGGCGAAATTCTAATGCACATCAACAAGAGACCAGAACATTGCCTTACAAGCGGCTCAGAAGACAGTGACAGTTCACCGTGTGAGCTCCTCAAGCTCACCGGACTTATCACAGCCATTATAATTGAATCGCTCTCACAGGTCTACTCTTGAGAGGTTGATGGAGTTTCAGTCCGAAATGCTCTCACGTCGAGCGAGGCAGGAAACGTTTTCACCAAAGAAATGAATTGGATTTGGAGACTACTTAGATTAGGCTGCGAGACACATGACGTTGGGTCGGAAACAAAAAGGTGGCTCCCGGATGCCATCATAAGCTAAGGCAAGTGCAAAACACTGATGATTACATGACACGCCACATGAAAAATTCTGAAGCTCTTCTGATGGGCAAGAAAATCAGAAATCACAAGCTGCCACAAGGTCCCTTCCGCCCAGAACTCGAAGTACGTGGCAGAATCGTGAAGTCTGATATCTACCGAGAAACGCCAGTAGTTTTGATTCGTCGTAGCCACCACTCGAGTGATCCGGGAGGTGCGAGTAAGCAGATGAAAGATGATGCCCTGCTAGTTCCTGAAGCGAAATCTTGTCACAAGGAAGCGTAACGTCAAGGCGAACACACCTGAGCAATCAGATTCCACATTCTCAAGAGCTTGCAAATGGCACACTCCAGGCTGCAGCGACGTATAACTTGAGCAGACCCTTGAAAGGTACACCAACTGGTACTCCCACCCAAGCCAGCAGAATACTCCATATCTATGCTGGATCGAGGCAGATCGGACACTTTCCTTTCCAGAGGCACTATAAGTGCTACCTCAACTTGAAAGCAGTTTGAAGAAGCGGTCAAGCAAAAGCTGGCAGACTCCTCGGTCTCAGAAGTCGGGCGTGACACGGAAACTAGCTCGAATGATAGGGTGACAAGCACCTGCTTCGGCAGATCAAGAATGGCATACACACTTGCATGCATGATGAAAAGTGCCCAATGACAGAAAGAACATTCGATCGAACATTCGTGAAAGTTGTGATGCTGTTTAGACCATCTCTTTGAATGGTTGGGTCCGCCCAACTGAGTGTTCCCAATAGACTGTCAAATGACGAATCGCGACTGGAATCAAGACGGTGGGAGATATCCAGGCGCTTTTGTCCTTCTTAACTTCTCAACGTCTATGACTCCGATGAACACCGCACAAGCTGCCCCTACGCACACCAGCGCAGCTACTAGAGTCCGTTGCCGCAAACCCATCTCGTTCCGGTGCAACCTGCAGAGACAAGAAGAACGACCTAGAGCTTGTCGTTTATCTGGATACTAAACATCAACCGAGCGGAGTCACGCAGTCAACTGGAGAACCATCGAAAGACGACACTGCTCCGAACGGGGTCAAATGCAGATAAGGGCTGTCGCCTGAATTGTAAGACGAGTTATGGAGCCCATGACATAGCCTGAAGTTTGATCCAGGTGATTAGACCCTGTCCGGATTGCAAGCGAAGTAAGCAGATCTGCAAGGAAGCCAAGATTGACGCATACTGAGGTAGGCTTGTGACCGTGCACGACTCATGCATATTTCTAGAATGCCCAGAAGCAGGCGTTCTTGGCCCGAAATGACCAGCAACTCAGCCTTATCTTAGGTATACCAGAACGACTGCGCTCGTTGCCGCAGCTTGCGCTATTGAAGTTGCAGGGAACAGGGCAACACACATCCCTTGCACTAGGAAATGACGGGAAACAGAAAGGTGTCTACTCTTGGTACTAAAGTACAGCTGGCAGGGACTCTTTGCAAAACTTGACCAGGAGAGACTTCATAAAGACCGGACTAGTATCACGTGTTATCGAGGAGCTTGGCAGCAGCAGTGAGAAGCAGAGATTCCAAATTCCCGACCCTGCCAAGTCTGACGAGAAGCGGACACGTGGCATCCACAAGGATTACATGACCCCTGGCAGCATTGGGGCAGAGCCCCGTGCTTGCGAGCTTCTGCCGGATCAGTGATTTTTCAAGAGCGGCCACGTGGCACTCACGTAGTACCTAGAAAGACCTGCACTAGCAGCAAGGAAGATCCCCACGCTTGCAGCTGTTCCTCAATCTCAGACAATCAAGTTGCAAAAGCTGACACGTGGCACTCACACGTAGTAGAAGACCCCTGGCAGCAGCAGGGAGGAGCACATGCTGGCGACGCCGCCGACGAGCGACTCCACGTAGCCCAGCACGTCGTACGCCACCACGGACACCGCGTACGCCACGCCCAGGACCGGCGTCCGCAAACACCGCTCCACGATAGCTGCAAAAGCGGATCGAATGTCCATTTTATGAGGAAGGCACTATACTGAGCGCTTCTTCTTAGACTGGTTGGTTTGAAGTAGCCAAAAGCAGGGAAACCCATACGCTACCGCCAAATCAGCGTCCGCAAACTCCGCTCCACCACAGCTGCCACAGCGGACGGAACTTCTTCATCAGAGGAGGGCATATTCTGAGGGCTTGTTAGACGGGTTGGTCTGAAGTAGCAAGAAACATGGATCGCGTCTGCCACGCCCAGGACCAGCGTCCGCAAACACCGCTTCACCACAGTTGCGAAATATACAAAGGCGCCACCTCCTCCCAAAGTGGTTTTGACATCCTCGGTTGTCGCGGGGGGAGTCCATGAGGCTGATAATCAATGACGTCGTGTCTCACCAGGAAAACATGGAGAAGACAGAATTCGCCCAAAATCACCCGACTCGAGCGCTTTCGCTGGCATGTACGCCACGTCAGCGGTGAGCTCCTCGAAACGAAAATGAGCGATGAGAGCGTCAGGGCGTCAATGGTTCGCTCTGAAGTCGACTGAAGCGGACTGCAACAGTCTCACGCGGATTAACATATTGCAGTCTGATCGCGGGTCCGAGCTTCGATGTTTCTTGAGCCGCCAAATGCCGAACCTTTTCCGAACTGGAAGGGTCTCCAGGATGCCGCGAGAGACAAAAACAAAAGCGCTCCAGAAGACAAATATTGGAGGAAGCAGGCAAGCAAAGACAATGGAACGACGTACGATAAGAAACAACAGTCGACCGTACCTGACGCCCCCGCCTTTGTGGTCCCATGCGCCGTATTGATATTGAATTTCCTCGAAAGCAAACACGAGGGGCAAACTCCTCAAGCAGGCGTGAAAACTTGTACAAAATGATGCAAACCCTCTTGAGTAGCATTGTAGAAACACCTCTAGGTAGAAACAAACGTTTGGAAGGTCTTTACCTGATGCGCGCGCTTTCGTGGTCCCTTGCGCCATGTCGATAATGAGCTCCGCGAGCACAAATACGAGCGGCGAGATGGTGGAGAAGGAGCTCAGCGCAACTAGAGCGGAGAGCAGCTGCGAGAGGCTGATCTCGAACGCGCCCAACTTGAGGAGCTTCCATCCGGCGACGGAGGAAGAAGTGGCCAGGTTGTGGGTGACGAGAACGGAGCAGCTCTCGCCGTAGTACTGGTAAGCGGCGGCGCCCATCAGAGCATACGTGCCAGAAAGGGTAAGACGCTGCTCAGAGAACATTTTCTGAAGTTCAGATTCAAGTGTGATATCATGCGACTGTGTTCAACATCTGGAAAGGTTTCAAGACCGCTCCGGATTGAGTCGCCAGATTGTGGGTGTCGAGGACGGAGCAGTTCTCGCCAAAACATTGGTAAGCAGCAGCACCCATCAGAGTGTATTTGCGAGAAAGGACAAGATTCTGTTGCAGGCTATTTCTTGCTTCCGGGGTTCACATGAGCCTGCCAAGATAGAGGTTTATTTTTAACCCTTTATACGCTCCATAGGGCGATAGTAAAATACTGCCAGGTGGTAGTTAGTCGAGAACGGAGCAGCTGTCGCCAAAGTACTGGTAGGCAGCGTCACCCATCAGAGCGTATCTGCAAGGAAAAGCGATGTTCTGCGTATTAAAACCTTGCTTGCATTTTGAACCTTGCCGATGTGTCAAAATACGATTGTTAAAAGCAAGGGTTTGGGTTCAAGGTTTTTCTTCCACGCCCGATGTTTCAATAGTTGCCGATGTTTCAATAGTTGCCAGACAATCAGTGACGTCATCGGAGCGGCACTTGCTAGAGTACTGTCATGCGGCAGCTGGCATCCGAGCGTACCGTCAACAAATCAAAATTCTATCTTGACTTCTGAATAAAGTTCAGGAACCTGAAGCTAGAGCCTGAGCTTTAAGAAGCTTCAAGCTGGCGACGGAGGCTGACGTAGCAGAGTAGTTCGCGGCAGAATATAAAGGCACTTTGCCGGAGCTCAACCAAACCATGTATGCGGGACGTGCAGAGGAGTGGCCTTGGTTTCAAAGTTCGTATCGTTCTACCAAGTGCCAAGACGACTCTCATATCTCGCTGAAAGGGCCTCAACGGAGCTCAGAATGGAT